TAGGGGGGTACAGCTCCAACGACAAATGATATAAAAATGAACTACATACCAAATAAAAGCTCATCGAAAACGGGATTAAGGGGTATAACTGGTAATCCATAGGTTGATTATGAGCTATAGAATTATGGAAGTTTCTATTCGGTGCGTCAGTTCTGGGTATGCTGCTACTTTCAGTAAAAGTCCTATAACTTCATCAGAACAAAAGCTTTTTCCGTCGGGTTTATTTTGCTTTGACCAGAAATGATTGCTCTTCACCACCTAACTATAAAATCAAAACGTCGATCGCGTTTTCCATTTTTTGCTTGGGCACGTTGTTGAAAACCGAGAGAAATGTTTGAAACATCGTTCTCCAGCACACCATCTGCTGTAAAACCCTTTTTTTAGAGACCATGAGAAAGAGCATATTCAAATGTACAATAAGAACCGAGTGCTCACTTTTGCTACACTTTTTACGGAAATGATAGCAGAAGAAAAAAGTTCTAGTCAAAAAACATATCAAATTTAGGAAGTTTTCAGTTTTTCCGCCTTTCATATAATTTACATAGTTCTCTTGATTGAAGGTCTAAAACTAAAGTTTGAGTATGGTTTTGTAGAGTATTTCGTGGCGCATCTTTAGAAAGAAACACTAATCTTAGGATCATAAGAGAACACGAGAAAAATAGAAAATATCATTCGTTATGACGCTCCAGATAGAAACTTTCATAATTCTATAGCTCATAATCAACCTATGGATTACCAGTTATACCCCTTAATCCCGTTTTCGATGAGCTTTTATTTGGTATGTAGTTCATTTTTATATCATTTGTCGTTGGAGCTGTACCCCCCTAGCAAAAGGTTATGCATCACCCTGTAAAGTATGAAAAATCATTCACTTCTTTTATTTTTTCCTTAAAGAGATGAAAATACATTAAGAATTTTTTCTTATAAAATATTGATATAGACTGATAGCACCAGCCTACTCTCATATTCCTACCATCGATTTGTGCTCAAATTCTTCTGAGTACTGAAGAACTTTCATTGTGGCTTCCATGAAGCACCCGGGATCTAAAGATATCGAGTTTTATGGACTCCCGCCTGCAGATGCACCTTTTACATGAAAATAAAATATTCGCGGCCTTATTCTTGACAAGTAACTGTATATGTGGTAATCTGGTCTCAAACATTCATGATAATACATCGGATACGATAGGAATATGTTTTACACGGTGTCGGATCAAATCATTTATAAAGGCTACTGTTGAGTGACTGTAGATCTCCAAAGTAATGATTATTTTAACGATCACTGGGCACAAACGGGTTAATGGGATTAGCCGTAAAATTGCAACTACTACAAAAAATAATACGAATTAATTTATTGGTCTTAATGGGAGATCCCTAACTCGATTGACAGTAAATTTATTGATCGCTGTTATCTCCATCTGTTTTATTCCAAGATTGTTAGAGTGTATAGCCAAGACCTCGTTCTTCTTATTAAACATTCATAGTCAACGTACTTAAAGAATCTTTCGAAAAGCAAATTTTTACTCTATGATCTCCCGTAATAACTTATATTTAATTGTATTCATAGATCGAAGCATCTACGACACATTCATACCAACTCGAGTTCATTATTGTGATGATTCGGACGAGGACTCAGTTTTTCGGAGAAAATTCAGTACTTTTGACATAGGGGAACTTCACAAGTAAATAGTAAAACAGCTGAAATTTTGGAGTAGTTTCAATTGGTTCTGACTTATTTATGAATTTTTTAATTTTCGCTAAGAACAACCACAGACGGATTGTTTCACTTGCTATAGGTTTACACTAGGTTTCCAAATCTTATTCCTATCAGAATTTATTCAAAAAACAATGGAGTGCGCTATATTTTTGAACAGATTATAGGTTTAATATGAACTGCATAAAGCAGAACACGTGTTTTCGGCTGAAATTTAAGTAAATCATATTATCTAGAAGGGAAAGTGATTATCTAAAAAACTGTGATGTAAATATTATATGCTAATTTGACAGATGATAGAAATCTTATTCTTGTACAAGTATTTATAATAAGTGTTGAAAATGACTTCCTATATGTTGGGAAAATATCCGTTCGTCTAAACAGAAAGTTACATGATTACATTAAATGGCGATAAACGTATTTTGATTCAATAACTAAGGTTTCATTGTTTTTTCTACCGTTTAGATGTGTCTAAAAATACTAGATGATAAAATATAAAATACAATTCTTAAAATACAGTTCTGTTTGATATATTTATCTTTTCAAAGTTGCAATATTAGCATATATTCAAAGAATAGAGCATATAATTAATTAAGAATTTCTTTTCAAAGATCTATTTTTTCAAATTATGAAAAAAAATACGTAAGCTGGAACAATTGATTTTGGCCATCAAACATGAAAGCTGATGCTATTTGATGAGAAAACTGATTATAAATTGAACGAATGAAACATATTTGTGACATCTCGAATATTACTGAATCGTCTAAAATTGGATGTTTGTTCAAAAATGTATTATATAATATTTTAAATTAACTTTTCAAGTACAGGAACAACAAAGATCATTAGAATAGAGAGGGTCAAAGAAAAAAATAGTTTGTTTAGTAGTGTGATCCCAATACAAACACAAATAAACATTCAAACAAAATAATAACAACATCGTTATTGTTTGTTAATCTTGTTTTCACACGTGGTGTTTTTTAAAAACAGTCTATAGAAGACATTAATTCTAACAAAAAAAAAAAAGAAAAAAAACACGACGGACAACAAAACAAACAAAAATGAAGAAAGAAAAGGGATAGAAAAAAAGCAAGTAGGCAAAATTATCTACATTTTCCTTGTAGCCAAAGAACAAAACTGAATAGAAATATCATGAGGTGATGGACCGAGATAACCAATTCTGTATGTTTTCGTTATATTTGGTTTTGATTCTAGAAAATAGACAGAAAAAAAAAAAATTGAATGAAAAAACAAAAACTAAACAACAGTTTTTTATATTCTTTTCTAAACTGTTGTTGATAATGACAATGATTGATGTCTCAATATCAATTGAACAAGTTAATTAAATAATATATATAGAGAGAAGAATAAGTAATAATAATAATAGAGATTTATATATACTGTAGTCTAGTTCTACTAAAAAATGTGTTTGTTTTTAATATAGAATGTGTGTAAAAACTAGAACACAAAAAAAGGCAGAGACAAAAAAACGTTGTGTTAGATAGCCATCAAATCATTCATGATCAAGATTACACACGAAAAACATCAAGAAACAACAACACAGAGCGCATATGTTGGTGTATGTGTGTATGTGTCTTGTTTATAAACAAAAAAAGCTTAAGAAAGAAAGAGCAAAAAAAAATGAGGAAAAAGAAACTGGCAGATTGGGAAGTTACAGTTTATTTATTGTTGTTGATCATGTTTATTGAAACTTTTGATTGAACTGAGCTTTCTCTTCGCCTCTTTCATCTAATAAACTTGTTAACATCGTTTTACCAATACCCCATGTTTGAACACCATCAGCCACTAATGAATCACGATCAGCATCTCTCGATGCAGTACGGGCAAATATACGTATACGATGTCGGGATTTTAAAACAAAATCAGATGGAAATTGATAAATAATTTCTTGTTGATCTATACGACGTTTCAATGACCATCCTCTCATTGGTTGATCTTTTCCACTACTACCTTGATTTTCAACAACAATAAAATTTCCCTGGGGATCAACTTGTTCAATAGATATTGGACCTAAAATAATAATAAAATAATGAATGAATTTGAATATCATATGGTGAGAAAGAATTGAAGTCTTATAGTCAAATTTTAAAATAACAATGCAATGTCACTTTTCTTCTCTAACCCAATTAGTTTTCAAATCAATTTGTACTGTTGATAAAAGCTAAATTTGAAATATGGCACGATCATTGAGATGCTATCAAAAATCTTTTTTAATAAAAGACTCATTCATTTACAATAAGCATTACAAAAGCCTGTGTATTCTCCTAAATTCTAGCGAAAATTATAATTGAAATTCTTTTTATCATCTTTTGAAAGTTACTGTTTAGGAATATACATCTTTCTTTCTCTATAATCAAATCAAGTACGCGTTTTATCTCACTCATCTGCATTGTTCTTGTCTATTTCAGTTTAAGCTAAAACTTTAAATGAATATTATACGAATTTATATTATCTTGTCTATGAATTTGTCTTATTTTTAGAATTTGATTAAAAATAAAATTTCTACTATCCCATGCTTATTTATCAAAATCTCAAACTTTTTCACAAACAAAAAATGTGGTATCAAATTTAATTGTGCTTTTTATTAATTTTTTTTTGCGTAAAAATCTACAGTTTGTTCTACAATATTGTGCCATATGTGTACTATTGACTTAAAAGAAAATGAGTAGAAAATATGAAAGATAATGTGATCGTTCGAATTTGTAAGTATATATAATTACAAAACAGCTAATTGACACAAAGCAACAAAAAAACAAAACAAAAAAAAAAAAACAATAATTAAAGAATAGTTCGATACATATACAGACACCTATAGCAATACTTGAAAAAACTAAATTCATGCCACACACTTAGCAGTATATGCGCTTGAACAATATCAAATTATATGATTAAATCATTGAATATTGTATATACCACTCATTTCATGAAAATTTTTATTATAATTTATTAGTGAGCAATAACAGCAATAAAATACTTCATTTTTGTAAACGTTTTTCAATTTAGAATGAAGTCTCATGAAAAATGATATTTTTTCTTCTAAATAAAGGGGGTTATGTTATGTTATGTTATGTTTAAAATATCCGATGATTCGAAACAAATTCAAAGACTATCATAATGAATTACTAAAATCTTTATTCCTAAAAAAATTTTGTGCCCCAGACATTTGCATTAGAAAAAAAATAAATAAAATAATAAAGCTCCCAATATAGACAACAAACAATAGTTCGTTGTATTTATTGCACAACATAGCATGATTAATTAATACGTCTATTTCAATCAAAAAGCAATGTTTTTTTTCTTTTATTATTATTTTGCTAGAAACTGATAAATAAAATAAAATGCAAAACTCATACGTCAATGGAATATTTTAATAATTTTCTAAATAAAAAAAAACAAAAAGATAAAATAAAACTATATATAGTTCAAAGAATTAAAATAATATTTTTTATCAACAATAAGTATTTAGTATAATAGTTTAGAATATTTTTAATGTTTTATTTCGATGATTCACTTGTTCATATGATAAAAAAAAATATGTTGAGATATTCTTATCATCCTTGAAATTTTATATATTTCTCATTAACCTCTTAGATCAAAAATTAGTTGCACATGCACACTTCGATACGGATCACTGCTTTTATTCTTTTCCATTTTAACCTACATTAGACAACAAACAATAATAATCTCTAACCGCTGCTTATATAAAAAACATATGGATAAAATGATGGCCGGTGAGAATAATATATATGGTGTGAGAGAGTGACACACACATACACACACAGACATACACATATATATATATATAACATAGCACGTATAAATGTTATAAATATAATTATAGAAACGGACAAATGATTGATAGATATTTAAAAATTTCCATTGTTAAATCAACTATCCGTCTATCGATGTTTATATATATATTACACTAATCGTCAGTAATGAGAAAAACTCAACAAGAAAAGGAAAAAATTACAAATTATGTGTCGTTTTTATGATAATTGAGAAAGATATTGTATATATCATACATATCAATCGGTATAGTATTATTGATCATACATGTTTATCAAAAATGAGAAATAGATGAACAAATTTATTCATTATGAGAGAGAACAACAGAGAGAGAGAAAGAGCGATAATGAAAATGTTTTGTATTTGCTGTTGTTTTTTTTGTTTGTTTCAGAGATAGAGAAAGGGCAAGAAAATTAATAATAATAATAATAATAACGTGAGTATTACAAGCAAGTGAAAGAGAAATGGGACAACTAGACTGTTAGACACAGCATCACACACATACACGCATAATCTAGAAGTTCTTTGATACGTGCAATAATTCATGCCGTAACTACTCTACGATGAACTAATTTGAAATTTTCATCAAACTTTAATAAAAAAATATTGTATTCAATAAATTTAGAAATAGGAATGGATTTAAAAATAAACCATAATATAGAGAGTTTTCATGCCAAAAAAATTAATTTTTCATTCAAAACTTTAATAATAAGCACATCACATGTCTATAATAATTTTTTAAATATGCTCTATGAATATGTTTTTTTTTACTTGCCTAAAAAAATATGATAATAATAAAAAATTTTATGTCGACATTAAAAGTAATATTCTAGAAATATAGAAAATAATTGTTTTTTGTCATTTTTGACAATAACTGATAGACATTTCACTCAAATTTATAATTAATACTAGTAAATAAAGATGAAATTTTATAGATAGAAAGTTTAATACATCTACTATTCACACATGCCATATACAAATCAGACATAGGTAATTTTCAAATTATTACCGTAGCCAATGTAATATAGCAGAGAAGATTAAAAAAAATATTTTTTAAAATTTAATTGATTTAGATACTACTCTCCCTCAATAGTTAAGTACTACTGTACTCAAAAGATGAATGAATACAATGTAGTTTAACGATTCTGTTTTTTGCAGTAATAAGAAATCCGATATTGAATTTTCAAAACCTTCATGTTAATCACATCAATAGATTAAAAGCTTCTTATTTTTTTTTTTTTGTTGTTTGATAAAAAATGTAATCGTTCTTACCTTTGGCAGATTTTTGTACAGTCATTTTCTTTGTTGACTGTTGGACCTGTACCTCAGTAACACCTGTACCGCCCGTAACCCGTTTAATATGACCTTCTTCAACTTCCAATAAACGACGATATGTATTGATTTCAAATCTTAATGATACATTATTTTCTAAAACGCCAGCAATGGCCGCTTCTCTAGCATCAATATTTTGTCTCAATTCGGCTAATTCTCGTTCTCGTTCACTTTGTGCTCGTTGTTGTTCGGCTTGTATACGTTCTAAATCTTCTTCCATTTGTCTTAAATAGTTAGCTAATTCTGAATGTTCTGTTTGTAATTTTGAATAATTATCACGATTTTCATTTAAAACAGTTTTCAATGATGTTAAATCCATTACTTCAACTTTGCCGTCCCGTTTAGCTTCGTCAATTTTTCGTCTTTGTTCTGCGGCTTGTTCTTTAATTTCTTCAGTTTTTATTCTATAATATTCTTCTAATTCATGTCGTTGTGCTGATGATAATGCTTCAAAATCCGATTTAATATCAGCAATGGCACGTGTTAATTCTGTACGATAAAATTGACTAACATCAATTGGTAATGTACCCAATGTTGCCAATTCATTTCGTTCTTCTTCATGAACAGCTTTCATAAACGCTAATTGTTCTTCTAGTGTTTGTAGTTCATTTTGTATCATAACTCTAGCCATTGATTCATTATCAAATTCATTTTTCAAGTTTTCTAATTGTTCCAATAATCGTTTGACCTAGAATAATGAAAAAAAAAGTATCATTAGTTCTGATCAATGAATGTTTATGAACTTTCATTGCATGTTTCTGTGATTAAAATTTACACAGTTCAACTGTATGTTCCTTGATATCCTGATAACACATAGAAGATCGAAATTTTAACTAGTTATAAGTAAATACAACTTACTTCAGCTTTACTACGTTCAATTTCTGTTTTTTTCTCTTCAAAACGATTTCTTAATGTATCCAATTCTGAACCACTACCTTCTAATTGCTGTTTTAACATTTGAAAACGATTACGATCTAAATTCACCAATTCATTGGCAAAATCTGTTTGATGTTTAATTAATGATGCATCATATTCAGCACGTTTTGCACGTAATTCAGCCAATGCTTTATCTCTTGTAACATCGTCGATTTGTTTACGTAATTGAATTAGACCATTATCATATTGATCTTTTATTTTTCCACTATCAAAACCCCATTTTTGTTTTAATTCATCTAATTGTACTTGTAATTTATGATTTTGTTGTTCTAAAAATTTTACACGATCCAAATAATTGGCAAATTTATGATTTAATTCTTGTAATTCACGTTTTTCATCTTCATGTTGATGATTTAAATTTCGAATAACATCAACACTTCCACCACCTGTACGACTACCACTGCTACGTATACCATGTTCAATTATGGTTTTTTTAATATAAGTTGAACCAGTAACACCGGTATCCATTGTTGTTGTTATTATTAATTGACTTTAGATTAGTATGTAACAAGAATAATGATAATACGTAAGAGTATTTATGAACAAAGGTTCAGAGATATTAATAATATGTAATAAAAAATAAGAGGACTAATAATACGGCTAATATTATTCAATTATAAATACACAAAAACCTAAAATGATGCAAGAAAAAAACAAAACTAATTTAATTCACAAGTCAATTAGCATATTTACAAAACAAATTTGTTAAATTCTACTAAGCATGTCTAGACAATCATAAAAAATAAAATGTTCACTTGCTCTGTTAGAATTACATAATATACACCTTTTTTTAACAGTATCAATTTCTATCAAAAACAGGAAAAAAAATTATAACAATCAAAAACAAATTTAAAATTACTATATATCAACAATTAGATGAGAAACAATGGATTTACCTTTTATTAATATTTTAATCTATCCACTGCAGAAAAATATGACACATACCCGAAGTAATTAATCATCACAACTTCCTACGTAAAATGTGTTTTCTGATATTTATTAACGAAGTATACTATTCAGAAATGAATAACTATAAAATCCATTCGTAACATGCAACGATGGGATACTTTTTTATTTTTCTAATCAAACTACAGGAGAAAAATCATTCACTGAAAATGAACTTTCTATGTCATGTTAGACAAATAATCATTTGAACTAAAAGCGAAATAAAGATAAAAAAAATATACTACTTATTCTTTTATTCGTTAAACATGTTTTAGTATCGAGGTCAAAGACAGAAGATGTGCTGAAACATTTATTATTTTTTATATGCATTCATATCAGATATACATGAAGTTGATGAGAGAAGATGAGTAAAAAAAGAATAAAAAGAAAAGAAGTTCATTACTCAAGGTTTCGGTCAACAAAGAAAGAGAATTACGCTTGACTAAACAGACCAATATCAATTAGTATAAAAAATAACTTTGAAAAACACCGACCTGTTCAAAGGAACTTTCTTCTTTCTATGTTAACTAGCGTGGTTAGAAAGATAAATAACAATGTAAAATGTAGAAGAAAAATAAAATACAAACAAATTAAAATTCTCGCGTTTTTATTATTGAACTCGAGATCATCTAAGCAGAGATCAACAAACCATACATTTTGCATATGTATACATATACATTTAATACTCCTAAACAGCTATAGATATATACCAAACGTTCTCATTATTTTTGACAATAATAAAAAGTCTACGTTTCTTTCTCTCTACTTCTTTATTCTCTTCTTTTTTTTCTCTTTCGCGTCATTGTTTCTTTTTTTTTTTTCTTCTTTTCACTCTATTAGGATGGTATCTTCAACAGTACATATTTTTCTTCTCGTTGCTATGGTGATAAACAGAGAAGAGGAGAGCTCTCGCCATTCCGTTCGCTCATAGAAGAAAAAGAAATCTGTCATATACAGGTAAGTATGTAAAAAAGGCATTCACTGCCAATTAGAGCAGATATGTATATATATATACGGTGTATTTTAGTTTTCTATTTATTCAAGAAAAAAGAGCGTAAAAATGAAACAACAATCCATTTTTGTTGTTTTACTTAGCTATGTGGTTTATTAACAATATATATTTTTTTCATCCTTTAATATAATATATATTTTATTTAACAGTGCATCGCACTATGGAAGATTAGAGAGCATTTATATATAGACAAAAACGAAAATTTTTGTTCCATTTTTCTTACTTTTCTCATTTTCTACTTCTATTGTCTTTTTTTTATGATATATTTACGCCTGTGAACAACAGAGAAAACGAGAGAGAGAAAAAGAGACAGAAAAAGACAAAGAAAGAGATCTACAATTTTTTATTGGTATTAATGCGGTATTTTTAAAAACATAAAAAAAAATTCTTTCTTTTTGTGGTTAGTTTGTGGTAGTAGTGTAGAATGCTCGAAAATAGTTTACGCTGTAAAATGATACGATCTCCTGTTTTCTTTCGAACAGTGTTAAAAAAAAGTTGTGCATCCATTAAATAAGCAAAAATTGGTGTTAAAGGGAAAGCACAATATGATAAATTAAGTATTAGTTAGGCATTAAATATTTAAAATTTGTTCTATAAAAAACGTCAGCTCTTCCTAATAGGCAGGAAAACAATTACTAAATCGTCTGAAAATAAACTTGTGATAGATAGAAAAAAACACCAGTTCGTTATAGGTCAAAGAGTTTAACAGCAAAGAATTTTTATTATGTCTTGGTACAGCTCGTACTGACTGATGTTTAAAATATTTCAACAAAAATTTCGACAAAATTACATTGACTAAGAGAAACTTTGAATTGAAAACTTAATTTTTAAATGGAACTCTTTCAAAATCAAGGATAGAAAATACTTGCTCATTTGTTGTAAACACATAAAGTTTTACTCTTCTTAAGGGTAGTTTTGATGATGCGCTTATCAATTGACATGTGTGCACACATCTTGGATGGGGTTTGGGTCTTTTAGTCGGTACGTGAAACTCTTCACACGAAATCTTTCTCAATTATTCAAATCTCTACTACCATTCATAGACAAAAAGCCTCTACACACTCTCTTACTCTTCTGCTTCTCAGCCATCCTCTTGTCGAGATGTTCCCATAATTGAGAATAAAACAATGCCATTATCGGAAATTGATTTGTTAGGTTATTTTTCTATCAGTAACAGATCTTTTGTCTGACGTCAGGCAACTAGAATTACTGAATAAAATATAAAGAGAATTGGAAGATAAAACAAATAATTTTTGGATAACAAAATAATAAGCATATTCAAAAAGAATGTTTCTATTACTTATCATCTTACATCGTCAGATTAATCATCGAACTTGATTAGTAAAGAAAAGAATGCAATGGAAAATTAAGTTGAATACAAATAGCATCACTAATTTCAAGTTATACTACTTTTTAGTTCATCAATTGCTCAAGGCATTTCAGTTTAGTCACAGATGAGAGAAAAGAAAAAAAGAATAGAGCCTAAACTGTCTCTTATATGAGAATTATTTTTCATACATCTCAGATAATAACTGTTTCTTTAATTATCCTTACTTATTCGACCTTATGGTCAAGGTAGAAGCTTACTGATGATAAACAACTCTTTTGAAAACAAAAAAAATACACATATGCACTTTCACAATATACCTCTAAGTTTTTCGTTTGACGCATTTGTATGGCTATAAAGAAACGTGTACATTCTATATATGTCTATCTGTTAGACAAAAAAAAGGACATTTTATGTCCTGAACGATAAAGTATAGACTTTTTCTTCTTTTGTTTTCCTATGATCAGTACCAAAAAAAGAAATGAACTATAAAGATCTACAGTTTGACGATGTAGCCACTATCTCATCTACTGTCGTCGTACACGCGTATAACCTCTGTAAAAAAAAATAAGAAAAAAACAAAACTGCGCACATGTGTGTGTACAATATAAAAGAAATTGTCTTCTATAAAAACGTATGATTATAAATGTCACGCATTCACCATATGACTACAAGATCTTTAAACAATCAAGATTTGAGTTATAAAAATCTTTTATATTACTTGGTTATTATCATACTTTTATAATATTGCCTACGTTAAAGATTATTTTTTCTATCTTTATCACAGTAGACAACTTGTATGGGTAAAATATCTCTTGTCTGTTTTCTTCAAAATCTATTGTTGAATTTTTCGTCTTATTTCTCTTCAGAACCATAACAATGTCATGTATTTGACCTAAAATTTTACTTTTTCTACATGACAAAAAATGATTGTGGTTTATTTGCATATGTATTTGCTCTTTAAGAGTTTATTTATCTATTGTCTTTGTTATGTATATATATGTACTCGAAGAGGCTTGAAATTGTAGTTTTTCTCTTCTGAAAAGAGATCGAAATTGAATAGATGTCTGTTTTTTTGTTTAGATCATTCATCCTCAAAATTATTTTTGTATTTTTTTTGAATATCTTAATGTTTCATATATACACATACACAAACCAGAAAATTGGAACTTGAGGTAAAAGTTTCTTTTGTTTAAAACAAACAAAAACAACAACAACAACAATTAAACATAGAATCAATAGAAATCAAAAACAATCATAGTATGTCATCTATTCATTAAGTTGCTCTAAGACAGTAGTTGGGTTTCCTCGCTAGCCTCAAACAAAAAATTCATAAAAATCTAATAAAGTATAACAATCTCTTTTCAATCCACAAAAAAAAACATATTATCTCTATATCAATATGCAATTAAATCAAAACATAACCGCTATATTCATATGCTTCATTTAAGAACTATGATTGATCGACTTTATGTTAATCGAATAAGGCAAACATATAAAAATTACCGTTAGAAGAAAATTATGTACCTTTCTACGAAAATATACATGCAGACAGATAAGAAAAGTTGTTTAGAAATTATCTGAACCTCATAGTACTTTTCAATTTTGTTCCTGATGATTTTAAATTAGAATATGCTTAGAATACTAGAACTTTGAGTGTTAAAATCGATATAATAATTCATTTGTACATGATGCTTCTGTTGAGGTGAAAAATATAGTACTGATTATTCGAACTTCACGCTTATTTCTCACAAATTTCAATATTCAGATAAAATTTACCTTTATACATAAACTTAACATTTTTTAACTTGTAAATATTATTCATTCATCAAAAAGCACAATTTTATTGTCTTTTGTTTTTCAACGTTATTTAATTCTTTTCTTATTTTTGTTGTTTTTGAAATAAGATAACATAGAATCTACATTAGAGAAAAAGAAAAAAATCTATATGACTTAATCTCTAAAAGAAAAATGCCAATTCGTCAATTTGATATGTTACGAACATGCGTAATTACAAAATTGTTGTTATTTTCAAAAAAAAATTCCCACTTTCTCTCTCTCTCTCTCTTTTTATTATTCAATTCTTCTGCTAAATGACAAAAATATTTTGAAAAATGAAGTTATGTACTACGAATAGTTAGTCTTACTTGATTTAAACTATAGTTATTCAAGAAAAAGATGTTA